TGTACATGTTACTATATGAATATATTTTAAAATGTAATTTATTCCTGTGATGCAAAGCTGAATTATCAGCATAATTACTCCAGTTTTCAGTGTCACATGATCCTTCAGAAATCATTCTAATATGCTGATAAGCTGACAAGAAACATTTCTTAATATTATCAATGTTGAAAACAGTTGTGCTGCTTCATATCTTTGTGGAAACTGTAATACATTTTTCAGGATTCTTTGATGAATATGAACTTCAAAAGAACAGCATTTATTTGAATTAGAACTCTTTTGTAACATTAGAAATGTCTGTACTGTCACTTTTGATCAATTTAATGCATCTTTGAAAAAACAAATCTCACTGTTCCGAAACAATACATAAACTTATACACCCTGCTACTACCCTAAAACATTCTTCCTTATGCATTTTAAGGAAGCAATATCTTTTATTTATTTATTTATTTATTTAGGCAATCAGAGCAGTATTTATCTGGAAAAAAAATAACTAAATGCAACTAATAAAGAATAAGGGGAGGAATTGATGTTTACAGACCTGTTGTGAAACTGGCAGGAATTTTGCTTGAACTTTTTCTTTGCACATAAAAATGAGCACTTGTACATAAATACAGATGAATGACGCATAATCTGATTTAAAAAAACAACAACTATGTAGCATAAATAGCTAACCTCTGTAGTACCCACTGTCATTCATTAGGGTGGATGAATATGCTCTATTTGTTAACATGTAAATGTAGGACAGGCATATGCTAATGAGCTCATTAGTGGGGTTACTGTTTCTGAATTAGTCATTTTTGCTGCTTAGTATATATTTTTCATATATCTCAGCTTCATAAACATGGTACATAAAACTCTTTATCACTGTGGTAGAAAACCCTGTTTCTTATGATTCAGCTCATTTAACTGTTTCACCAGCAGTGGACCTTGCTGCCATGCCAGCGTTCCACACACTTGTGTACTTGAGATCCTTGAGATGTCACAGTGTCTCCGGCCTTATCTCAGGAGGTCTTGGAGATCCTCTTTAGTATGGAGGCCAAGGACATTCTGTTGTACAGTGCTGATATAAAACTCCCTCATTGCATTTTTCTGTAGTATTATTTTGTTCCTGTAAAAGTCAGAGCTGTTTTTGACGGATCTAGCATCCTGTTCCCGTAGCCGTTTCTGCTGAGCACTTTGGCTGTCGTCCCTTTTATGGAAACCAGACAAATGTGTGTGATGGGAGACGTTTGGCAGGACTGAGTATGTGTACGGAAAGCTGCTCTGACTCATTCAGATGTCTTTGTGCTTGTGTTCCGTGAGAATGCATTGTTGTGCTTTCATGTGGTGAGTTTAGTGTGATTTTAATTGTGTTTGTATGATCCAATGTGTGTCTGAAAATGAAAACACTCTTGGTGCTGTTCAAAAAGTGTTTGACCAGCACTTGTCTGTCTGAGAAGATAAAATTGAATAATGGTAAATGAGACATAAAAACAACGGCTCAAATGTACTTATTTTATGCTGGAGTTCTTCAAAGATCAGATGAACCAGTATTATCTTTACTTACAAAAAAAGTGTCATGGCAATACTTCTGACATTTACTGTGCTGCTACAGTGGTATTGTTTGAAGCACTATGTAAATGCCATGGTACATAAAAATGATAATTATACATTTCCAAGGTTATTATTGTTAACTGAAACTAAAATGTTAAACATTACTCATCATTAACTGAAATAAAAAAGAATTAAATATAAAAAAAATATTATTTTTATTTCAGCTAGTTGCCAAGGCATAGACGCAACATTTCTCATTTTTGTTTAGTTTAAGTTGAAGTACTAAAATAACTAAAACTTAAAAAATTGACATTAAAAAAGGCTAATAAAAATGACAAAAACACAAAATTAAAATGGAAAATATTAATAAAATCTAATTCAAGGTATTAACAAAACCTATTATGGTATACTAAAATAACAATGTTTGGTGCTATATGATTATATCATGGTGCCACAGTGCTTTTTCACAGTCTAAGTCAATATCTTTTCCACTTAACCTGGGTTTTAAAATGCAGAATGATTCTATTTTAGATTTAAAAGTGTATTCTTTGACTTTTTTCCCATCAGCCACTCCTCTATCCGTGCGAAGCAGCAGTGACCCCGCCCTCGCCCCGCCCCTGGAAGTCATTTCACTGGACCCTGAGGACACCAGCAGACCCCAGTCCACTGTGAGTGAACACACACCACATGCTGATGTTTGATAGGAGTGTCTGGGAAAGTGTCAACTTTCTTTTTTCAGTTCAGTTACAGTAAATGAAGGCCAAATTTGTATTGTGCTTTTGGAAGAAGCAATACAAGACTACTTTTGAGTTCTTGGTCTTCTGATGTATCCTGTCCTTGTTTGGAGGATTTACACTGAACACTCAACATTCATGGTCATATTATATTTGTGCTTAAGTTTGACGTTTTAGCTCTGCCATCATTGTTATCTTACTTTCTTCCATGATTGTTTTCATCAACAAAGCTTTTACTCTCGCTATATGTCTCTCTTTCATTCTTTGTGTTTGAGGTAATCTATTAAACAGCTCTTTTTGCTCTCACATTTAGACAGACACAGCACATATACTACTGCTCAAAAGTTTGGGGTCAGTAAGATTTTTTTTCTAATAGACAATAATACTTTTATTTAGTGAGAATGCGTTAAATTGGTCAAAAGTGACAGTAAAGACATTTGTAATGTTACAGTAGATTCCTGCTTCAAATAAATTGTGTTCTTTTGAACTTTCTTTTTATCAAAGGATCCTGAAAAAAATTTTTCCACAAAAATATTAGGCAGAGCACAACCAGTTTCAATATTAATAATAAGAAATGTTTCTTGAGCAGCAAATCAGCATATTAGAGTGGTTTTTGAAGAATCATGTGACACAATACTGGAGAAATGGCTGCTGAAAATTCAGCTTTGCATCACAGGAATAAATTACATTTTAAAAGATATTGAAATAGAAAACAGTTATTTTAAATTGTAATAATATTTCTGTTTTTAATGCATTTTTCATCAAATAAATGCAGCCTTGGTGAGCAGAAGAGACTTTTTCGAAACCATTTAAAAATCTTACCAACCCCAAACTTTTGAATAGTAGTGTAATTTTCAGTATGAATGAAGTGTTTAGGATTTTGCTGAATGTACTCTCAGTGCCTCGGGGTCACACAGAAAGCCAACACAGTATATTTTAATTCTGAGTGTGACATTTCCTAAATTGTAGCACTTTCAGGCTCTTGGAAACTGCTGAGTGTATTAGGATTACATACATAAAACTGTCCAATATCTCTAAAATATTAGCATCAAACGGGAAAAGAAAGTGTACCGCAATTGTTAGGAATTCTTAAGGTGTCTGCAAAATTACGACTCGCGCAGATGCTCGCACACATCTGTCCCAGATGGCTCTGAGTGACAGTAATCATGGCGGTGCACTCCATCAAATGACAGAGTGAGGGCACGCTAATGCATCAACGGCAGCACTTTTGAGATGGTGAGGATTCATAAATATATGCGTATTCTCTCTGCTCCCAAATAAATATCTGCTTCTGTCAGTGCCACCGCTGCTGATTCCAATTCCTCCTGCAAGACTTCTTCAGCACTCTTAAGAATCAGGTGACACTTGTAAAGGTTAATTGGAGACTGCACTGTGATTTTGTTTTTGCTAGTTAAAACGTGATTTATAATACTAGGACATGTTCCTGGATCAACATTTCTATCAATCAATCAGTGCCTACAGTCAGAGGCCAGCTTTTAGTGATGCACTGGAAAATCTTGATCTTGAGCAAGTCTGAACCCCACTGAAAATGAAATGAAATTAGCCTTTTAATTTCATTAATGTTATAATACTGTACATTATGCTGTACATGTGCATGTCACTGTTGATCAGTTTCAGACAGTATCTTGTAAATTGACACTACAGGTCAAATATTTGGGTTGAGTAAGATTTTATAATGTTTTTAAAAGAAGTCTCTCACCAAGGCTGAATTTATTTGATACAAAGAAAGAAAGAAAGAAAGAAAGGTCAAAAAAGGCAAACCAAGGAAACAAGCAAACTATTGAAGTAAAAACAAAACAAAACAAGAATGAACCAACTAATAAATGAACAAACCAAACAAATAAATTGATGAAAGAAAGAACAAATTAATGATTAAAAAAAATCAAACTAATAAACCAAGGAAACAAGTAAACTGCTAAAACAAACAAAAAATAAACCATGAATAAACCAATAGAAATGAATAACAAACAACTTAAAGTAAGATAAGAAAGTAAGACAGAAAGAAAGAAACCAATAAACCAAGGAAACAAACAAACTTCAGAAACAAACAAAAAGTAAACCAAGAATGAACCAACTAAAGAAATGAATGAACAAACAAACAAACAAATGAACAAAAGAAACAAACAAATGATCAAAAAAGGCAAACCAAAGAAACAAACAGACTACCTAAACAAACCAATAATAAACCAAGAATAAACCAACCCATGAATAAATGAACGACCAAACAAACAAATTAACGAAACAAAAAATAAACAAACAAGCAAACTAAAAACTACCAAAAAAGGTAAACCAAGCAAACAAGTAAACTACTGAAATAAACAAAAAAAATTAACAAAGAATGAACAAATCAATGAACAATCAAATTTAGAAAGAAAGAAAGAAAGAAAGAAAAAGAAACCAACCAACAAAAGAAACAAACAAAAACAAACAGTGAACAAAGCGAATGTCCCCTGACCGTAGCATTGTATGAAAATCAATTAAAGGTCCTGGGTGGTTATTAGATCACTGACCATAATTACACATCTCACATTCATGTTTATGTGTGCTGGAAAGTCTAGACAAGCTCCTCAGCACATCTGATAATCATCTTGTGGCCAACAAACTGGGGCAGAGAATCACCATCCCACACTCATAATTACCCGGCTCTCCTGTACATACAGCTGTGATGTGAGCAGGGCAGAGCTCAGCAGCCCAGAGAAACTCCTCAAATCATTTAACGGTGTGCTGTGCTTCAGTGGAGGTGACCGCCGGCTGTGAGCTTGAGCTCCTGGGATGGATGATAAGGGACTGGGAGAGCTTCAGGGTTCCCCTTCCCTTCCCTGCCATAACATGAACATGAAGCTCAGAGTTCCTCCAGGGAGTTTTTCAGAAAGGACTTCCATTAGATCAGAAACTGCAGTGTGTACTTCAGACACGTGATTTACACAAGACATTGCGTTCTGATCTGATGGTCCTGGAACAACCTGATGAGATTCATTAAAGATATTATTCAAGACCCTAAACCTAATTTTAAAATCTGATCTGGTCTGGTTATGGAATATTGTTCAAGGACTAAAAAGGATGCTGTTCCAAGAACTTGTTCTAGTCGTTTTGGTTTGATTTCATAACTTGCTCCTGAATCAACAACATTAAGCCTGGAACAATATTGCAATGAACCCATCAAGACTTTTGTTTTGGATCAGATCAGAAACTTTACAGAGAAAAAAGCAGCTTGTGCATGAAAATCATATTTCCAGTAAACGCTAACTGATGGATAAAGTTGTGTTGAAGGCACACTAAGAGAATTTTGCCAAACGATGTTGATATTTGAAAACACCCAAACAAACACGCCCATACGCCAAAAGGACATCGCCCCTATTTTGATAACTCTGCCGCACACGTACATACATGACCCTGGCAGCGACGATGGCGGATTCTGCTATGCTATTCATCAATAAGTGAAAGCGATGTGTGTTACTATGGTAATTCAGGTCGAATGTGTTTGGTAGTAGTGTGTTTTGAATGGAAAGCTGCTCCAATATTTATGTGGGTCCTACCTCTTGCCTGATCGTAACCCTTCTTTTTAATGTTTTGTTCCTCCGGAATTTTCCTCTTTTTTTTTTTTCTATCTGCCATCTCTCGCTATCTATAGTCGATCTGCTAATATCCGTCCTGTGCACTTGCTGAGCGCTCTCTTCTCCTTGTCATTATTAGACACGCCCCTTACTGCTGATTGGCAGCAAGCGTGTTTTGGGACACTGTGGTCAAATATTGCCAAGCAATAGCGTTAATAGTATTAAAAGGCTCAAATATCATGGTATGTGGTATGGTACCCCAAGGTACTTTAAAGAATGAATGCCATGGTATTACTAAGGCACCATGGTACTCTTAACAATTTGAGTTAGTGTCTTTTTGTCTAGGTCTTATGTTAGAATTTGTGCTGAGTTATCATGTACATTAGATTGATGATCAGGCGTTGCTGTTGTATTATCTGTCAGCTCTACAGTTAGATGGATGGATGAGATGGACTCAAAGGTCATAGAGAAACACATTTATGATGCAAATCCCTACACATTTAATTGCAATAATAAAATGTGATTTATACGACATATGTTCTCTCAACAATGCAATTTTGACCCAGTGCGACTTATTTTCTGGAAAAAAAAAATACTGTGCTTACTACATCCATAATAATTCATTATGGAATATATAGTTTTTTTCAGGTGGCCAGTTTCATTGTTATTTTATTTATATTGTATTTTAAGACAAAAACAGTATCAGTTTATCAATAAAAACTGAAATATTATTGCAAATTTAAAATATTTCTATTTTAATATGTTTTAAAATGTAATTTATTTCTGTGATGCAAAGCTGAATTTTCATCATCCTTACTCCAGTCTTCAGTGTCACATGAGAAATTATTCTAATATGCTGATTTGCTGCTTAAGAAACATTGGCAACACTTTACAATAAGATTCATTAGTTAAAAGTTATTAACTGTATTAGTTAACATGAACTAAACATTAACACACACACACACACACACACACACACACACACACACAGTCTCTTACAAACTCTCTCATTGGGCTTTGACATTTATTCAATTACCATATTCCCAAGAGTTTACCCACCACTCATAAGTCTTATGTAAACAGGCCACGCACCCCGAGAGCCAAGGACACATATTTAATATAGACTCCGCTCTCACTGCTGATGCGTGTGACCGTGAATGTTTTACTGTGTTTACTTCGAGCCTATTTAGGTCATAAACATATCAACAAAATCCTCACATCACGCCTGAGTCAGTTTTTTGGGGTGGATCATATTATTTTTTCCCCCGTTGTTCTATTTAGTTCCCACCAAAACCTGCAATACCGTATTTTCCAGAATATAAGTTGCATGTTTTTTTTTTAATCATCTTAATTTTTGAAATTAGCTGTGACTTATATAATGCAATTAATGTCAAGTGCACAAAACATATGCAAAGCACAAGTTAGTATTGGTGCAGAATGAGCTCAGTACGTGAGCCCAAGTTTGTTTGTGGAGAGCATTTCAAACACTGGTAGTTTAATTTTTGCTTAAAAAATATTTTGGCTTGCTGTTTATAATACATGTTGTTTATAATGAATGCTATAATTTATGTTTGTTTTGTATTGTATTTGTATATTTTTAAATCCTGTTCTGACTACACTTAAATTAAAAAAAATTGTTGTGTGTATCTTTTAATTTACCAGTATTTTACATTATATTTAATTGCAATAATAAAATGTGATTTATACGACATATGTTCTCTCAACAATGCAATTTTGACCCAGTGCGACTTATTTTCTGGAAAAAAAAAATACTGTGCTTACTACATCCATAATAATTCATTATGGAATATATAGTTTTTTTCAGGTGGCCAGTTTCATTGTTATTTTATTTATATTGTATTTTAAGACAAAAACAGTATCAGTTTATCAATAAAAACTGAAATATTATTGCAAATTTAAAATATTTCTATTTTAATATGTTTTAAAATGTAATTTATTTCTGTGATGCAAAGCTGAATTTTCATCATCCTTACTCCAGTCTTCAGTGTCACATGAGAAATTATTCTAATATGCTGATTTGCTGCTTAAGAAACATTGGCAACACTTTACAATAAGATTCATTAGTTAAAAGTTATTAACTGTATTAGTTAACATGAACTAAACATTAACAATACTTGAAACAATACTTCAAAACATGAACTCAGAAACTATAGTCATTTTTTGTAAACGTTAGCTTGAACATGTCTGCTTTCCCTTTTCAGAACGGTTACGTCATCCGACCATCTCTCCATTAAAGTCTCTCTATGTCTCTGTTGTCGTCCTCATGTGTGCACTCAATAAAGGAGGGAGATGCACATTAACAATAGCCCCGCCGCTTCTGCTGCCCCTGTGGCCCTCAGTAGCATGTGGCCTAGCGGGGGATAATCGCTCTCTACTCAGATAATCTAGGTCACTTTCTTGTGTTTGCTGCGTCCCGGGGGTGAGTCAGTCGGTCGGTCCGTCCCATGTGTTTGTGTGTGTGTGTTGGGTGGAGAACAGGGTATGTTCTGGACCAGCATTAGCAGCGGCTTCACGGTGAGGAAAGTGGACCTACCCTTTTACGGTGCATCATTTAGTTTTTCTTTATCTTTGTGTTTGTTTTCTATTCATTTGCCTATTATCTGTTTTGATCGCTGTCCCCAGATCGCTTAAAAAGAAATGAAAGGCAGTGAGAGAGTGACGTCAAGGACGCAATTACAGTATTTCAGTGCAGAACTGTGTTCAGCCACTTTGGCATGCTGCTCAGTAGGGAACATTGAAGCTTGGTGTGGATGTTTTGGGTGCTCTAGCGAAACTGAAGTCATGGTGAGTGTATATTTGTGTTGACAGGGTGTTGGTCATGCAACCACTATGAAGGGAGGAGCCATGGACAAACCCAAGGTGGACGTCCCAAACTCCTGGACTGGACAAGTCAACTTAAGGTGAGGGAGTTTGTGTATGCATATATACATGATTGTGTAGGTGCACTCATAAGTTGGGGATAAAATAATAACAACAACAACAACAACAATAATAATGATAATAATAATAATAATTCAGTAATCAGTGCAAGCAGCAATCTGTCCTGAGATTACTTTGGGTCTTTGTTTTGCAAAAGCTCTTTGTTGTCAGATTAAGGTTAAGTGTGTGTTTGTGGGGCCCCGTGTGTTTTGTACATGAGGTCTTTGCATACTGTTATATACTGTATATATATGGTTTTGGTAAAAATTTTACATACACTTTGCAGTAACTGCAAAATGTTAATAATATTAACAAAATAAGAGAGATCATACAAAATGCATGTTATTTTTTATTTAGTACTGACCTGAATAAGATATTTCACATAAGAGAAAATACAAGAGAAAATAAGTTGAATTTATAAAAAAATGACCTCGTTCAAAAGTTGTTCTTAAAGGCACGATATGTCATTTTCGCCGCTAGAAGGCGCGTATTCAAAATAAACAAAGAAACAAAGGCGTAGTTTGATGACGCCGTGACGAGTGTGGAATCATGGGAGTTGTCGTCTTCATCCCCACAGCCGATGCAATCCGACGGATATTAAAGCGTCTTTGGTTTTTCCATGTTTTCTACAAAACAAAACATCGAGGGTGTATGACGTCATTGGCAGGCGACACAATGACTATATGGACATGGTCCGTGTCACTAGTTAAAATTGCTTATTTCTCTGGATTTAAACATTCTTCGAAACATTTGGGATAATGTAAGTACACAAGTCAGCAAAATATATAACACTTTTCTAGTGGTTTTTGGATATTTGAATAATAAAATCTTACATATTGTGCCTTTAATACTGTGTTGTTTCCTGGATGAAAAATGAACAAAATATTAAATGTATGTAAATACATAAATATTGACATTTATCAATCACTTTATTTATTTACTTCATTTTGGATATATTTATTTACATTTAATTACATTTTTTGATGCATTTATAAATATTTATTTTTACTTACATTTATTTTATGTATTATTTTACATAGTTTAATTGTTGATTGATTTGTTTACATTTATTTAAATGTTAGTTATTATCATTTGTTACTTATGTATTAATAAATATATTCATTTAAATGTACAAATATTTCCACACAGTTTAATTTTGTATATATATATATATTAGGGGTGTAACGGTTCTTGTTAAAAGATCGAACCGTACCGTTCTCCACCCACGGTTCGGCACGCACATTGCACTGCGGTTCAACTTAAATCTGACAAAACATCTGTAATATGGCTTGTTAAAAATAACAACAGGTAAAACAGACAGAGTTCGGCTAATGTATGTTTCTGTCGATTGATACGCATTGTGGCTTCCTAATAGATTACAACAACAGCGATGAACAAAAAAAAGAAACGTAGACAAACTAGTCACTCTTTGTAAACTTTGTTTAATGCGACTGCCGTATGCTGGAAAATGACCAGTAGACCAGTAATTTATGCCGTCATCACCCGGGTGTTGATAGTGCGTGTGCGCAGGTGAGACCTGAACAGCACACGTTGCTATCTGTGTTTAAACTTAACTCGTTTAAGCCTTGCCAGTTTAAACATTCAAGAGCCAGAAGACGTGAATGAGAACTCGTGCGCGCAGTGAGAAGATTTGTGTGTGCGCTCATCCAGAAGCGCCAAACACGTGTCTCAGAACGCATGCAAATATTTAGTTCTCTTTCATGTCTTGTGCTTGAATGGACAAATTCACACAAAAATTATGTCAACATGCCCGTTTTGGTGAGTATCCTAGTACTGAATGATACAGTATCAGTGTACTGGATCCGTGCATTTGTCTTAAAGTTTTTAATATTAATCAAACAACAAAAGACATGGAAATCATTCACTACTTTTGATTGAACATGATATGATATGAAATGTTTCTGTTTCTTTTTGTATATATGCTTATATTATATATACATATATACTTACATATAGGGCTGAACGATTAATTGCATTTGCGATAATATCGCGATATGAAATAACGCGATTTTTCAATCGCAGAGGCTGAGATTACACTCGGTCACGTGACACGCCAGAGTAAAGAGGTGTGTTCGACTTGAAGATCGATCGGTGTAGCCTATGACATCAAAGTACGGTGAGAGAAAGCATAAGGAGACGTCCACGCTCTCTTACAGCTCTCGCAGTACTTTGATGACACGCACCCATCGGTCTAAGCAGCGCTGCTTCAAGTCGAGCGTGGGCCATCAGCAGAAAAAGAAAAGAAATAAAACAGTAAATAGCCAAAGGACGTAATTAGAATGGGAGATGGATCGGTTTGTGAAAGTGAAGAGAAAAGCCATAGATGAAGTCGCACAGACCCAGGCAGATGCTGGTCATTCAAATGCTAAATGCAGAAAATATGACAAGGCATATCTTGCTCTCGGCTTCACTCACCGTGTCTATACCGGACGCTACAGTTGTTGCGTCACGCCGCAACAGCTTTGCACTGGACGCGACAAAACGACCGTTGCAAATCATATTAACTTTGTGTCAGTACGTCATAAATAGAACAAGGCACCAGTTTAATGTTGGATTTTGTCGCGCCGCGCTGCATCCAGCGTACACAGCGTCACTGATTATAATGGTTTCTACTGTATTTTGCCGCTCGCGTCCGGTGTAGACACGGTGTTTAATGTCGTTGGTGAGGAGGAAAGCCTGTGTGTGTCCTATGCCTTAGCGGACAGCATGAAACCCACAAAAAATAAATAAATAACAGAGAGAGAATAATAATAACAGTTATTCTCTCTATGCTATTTTCAATGTTTCAAGTGATGCATGTGTTTTTTCCCTGTAGGTTTTTTTAATTAAATACGATTTTTTTATAGGTTTAAAGGGGGGCTTGACCAAAAAAGTTTGAGAACCACTGGTCTAAAGTTAACAGACAGTGTTTAGTGCAGTCCACATGTTTACATATGTTTATTACAGTGACTGTGAATGACCTAAAGTAGTGTGGTAAAGCAACAGATTTGTTTTTATATTTCTGCAATCTACTTTAGTTTGTGTGATTTGTTACTGACTTTCATATTAATGTTTACACCAGGCTTATTTGTCAGTGCTTTATGTTGTCATAATTATTACATGCTTACAAGGTTGGAAGTTCAACAAATCAGTCAATATACTACTGTGATTGTAGTTGTTAAATAAAAAGGTCATTCATATCAATTCATGCATCACCCAATTTCATCGTAACATATAGGCCTGGCCTACAGAAAAGAACATTTATCTTTACTCTATCTAATAGTGTTGGTCATACTATACAATGATTTATAGCTTGTCTTTGTTGAATAATACAGAACATAAAGAGCTTTAAAAAAAAAATT